TGGAAGAGTTGGTGGAGGAGGACAATGAAGAACTAACCACTGATGAGCTGATAGATCAACTTCAACAGCAAGAGGCCAGACCTGAGGAAACTGGTTCGGAGGAGGGGAGAGAGAAATTGAAGAAGTTGCCTACTTCAAAGATTAAGGAAATGTGTGGAATGTGGCTTAAAGTACAAACCTTTTTTGATGACAATCACCCTAACACAGCTATTGCAAGCCGTGCTGGTGACTATTACACTGACACTATTGTGAAACACTTTAGGAAAGTCATAAAGGAACGAGAGGTACAGGCCACTATGGACAGATATGTTGTGCGACAGAAGCCCAGTGACTCTGAAGCTGGTCCTAGTGGCATTAAAAGAAGAAGGGAAGTAACCCCAGAAAAGGACTTGACACCTCAAGTCTTAATGGAAGGGGATTCCCCTTCTAAACACTAAGACTCTCTCCTCCTCCCATCCCATCAATCATCACCAGATCTTCAATAAAGGTAAGTGTCATGTAACTGTGCATGCCTTTTTCAGTTTGTGTGTATTAAAATTAATATTTCATGTGGTAAAATTTTTTTTTTTCATACTTTGGGGTGTCTTGCACGGATTAATTTGATTTCCATTATTTCTTGTGGGGAAAATTCATTTGCATAACGATAATTTCGCATAACAATGAGCTCTCAGGAACGGATTAATATCGTTATGCGGGGGTCCACTGTACTTATTCCTAGTACTATATCTCCTTTTATCTCCATGGGGAAGTAGAACAGAATTCTTCCTCCGTAAGCCATGCGTGTCGTAAGAGGCGACTGAAATGCTGGGAGCAAGGGGCTAGTAACCCCTTCTCCTGTATATATTACTATATTTGAAAGGAGAAACTTTTGTTTTTCCTTTTGGGCCACCCCACCTCGGTGGGTTACGGCTGGTACGTTGAAAGAAGAAAGGATCTCTTTTTATTGTAATTGATTTTCACACAGTTACTTATCCGTACTTATCCGTTTTAACACTGTGAGCAAGTCTGCTCGCAGACTTGCTTATAGTGTCGAAGAATTTAAAAAAAATATTTTTATCATATAAAATGATAAAGAATCTTTTTCTGAAGGTAATGAAACCAAAAGTTTGAAATTTGATGGAAAACTTACGGAATTACACTCTTGTGAAGTTAGCAGTCTCTGGCATATTTACACTTCAGTGATTTCACCTACTTTGAGCCTTATTTGAGGCCAATTCCTTAGTTCCATGTAACCAAACTCATAGCTATTTCACTAGAACTCTTTTTATTCTATCAATTGAGTATGAGAATCCGCCCATTTACTTATTTCAACTGCACAAATAAGTGATCAGAAATTACTAATTTGGCCAATTTCTCATAAAATTCAAGAAAGGCCAATTTCAAAATAGGGACCAGAATTAAATAATACTAATATTCCTGGCACTCAAATAACATTTTCTCTGTTCATTAGTCATGTCTCCAGGCCCCTCTTATGTTACACTTGCTTTTCATTTTGAATTTTTATTCATACTAAAAATAGATGATTTACTGTTATTCAGACTACTGCATCATTGTAATATTGTAATTGTATAAATAATATCATCGCATTCACGAATGCATTTTAGACCCACCAGTTAACATGTATTGGATACATGACGTGATTTGTTTACTCATGAACATCATCAAAAATCTAACATTTCTGCTACTTTGAGCTCAATTTCAAGCTCTATTTCTTCCATTCTATCCAATGAGACCATGAAAATAAGAATACAACCATAAATACCATACAAAGATACACTGCAAAGTTGCTGTTTTAACCCTTTGAGGGTTTTCGTCGTACTAGTACGTCTTACGCGTAGGGGTTTTTGACGTACTAGTACTCATAAATTCTAGAGGCCTCAAATCGAGTGGGAGAAAGCTGGTAGGCCTTCATATGAAAGAATGGGTCTATGTGGTCAGTGTGCACAGTCTAAAAAAAATCCTGCAGCACACAGTGCATAATGAGAAAAAAAAAACTTTTACCATTTTTTTTTAATAAATCAGCGACTTTGCAGTGTATTTTCGTATGGTATTTATTGTTGTATTCTAGTTTTCTTGGTCTCATTTTATAGAATGGAAGACATATTACAGAAATTGAGATGATTTTGACTGGTTTTACAAAGAAAGGTGCCTTGAAATTGAGCTCAAAGTAGCAGAAATGTTCGACTTTTACCAAACTTCAAAAGTAAACAAATCGTGCCAAGCGTGCAATATACGTCAACTGGTGAGTCTAATATTCTTTCACAAGTGCACCAATAATATTTATACCATTTTTTACACTAATGCAGTAGTCTGCATAACAGTAAATCTTATATTTTTTGTGAAAATAAAAATTCAAAGTGGAAAGCAAAAGAATATAAGAGGGGCCTTGAGACATGACTAATGACTAGAGGAAATGTCATTTTAGTGCCAGGAATGTCTTTCTTGTTTATTCTGGACCCTATTCGGAAATTGGCATCTTTTGAAATTTGTGTGAAATTGGCAAAATTGCTAAATTCTGACCACTGTACTGGATAGTTGAATTTCATAAATGAGTGGTTTCTTGCACCCATTCGATAGAAAAAATGGAGTTCTAGCGAAATATTCATGTTTTTTGTCGACTAGTACAGTGAAATTGGCCGAAAATGGGGCTCAAAGTGGGCAAAATCGCCGATGCGTAAACATCGCCGAGACCGCTAACTTTGCGAGAGCATAATTCCGTAAGTTTTCTATCAAATTTCAAACTTTTGGTGTCTTTATGATCAGGAAAAGATTCTCTATCTTTTCATAAGAGAAAATAATTTTTTTTTTTTAAATTTGGCCGACCCTGAGAACGAGTTTCGGAGAGGGCCTGTCGACCCTCAAAGGGTTAAATAAAAAAAGTTTCAGTTTTTTCTCGTTATTCACTGCTTGCTTCAAGATTTTTTTATACTATGCACACTGCCCATGCAGACCCATTCTCTCATATGTAGGCCTACCAGCTTTCTGAATTTGAAGCTGCTAGAATTTTGGTCTGTTACAGGACTGAGACTGGCTTCAAAGCTGTAATATTAGGGAACTGACACCGAAGGGGTTAAATAAGATCTTACAAGGACCCCAGTGGAAATAAGTCACTTTGACTTTTTTGGTTTATCCTAGGTAATTTACACATGTTACTTCTTCTTTCAACAAACTGTCCATATCCCACCGAGGCAGGGTGACCCAAAAGAACAACAAAAGCTTCTCTTTTTTACTTTAGTAATGTATTCAGGAGAAGGGGTTACTGTTTTCTTGCTCCCGGCATTTTGGTCGCCTCTTACAACACACATGGCTTATAGAGGAAGAATTCTGTTCCACTTCCCCATGGAGAACACATGTTACTGTGTATGATAATTTGTGTAACTGTGTTTATGTGTACTTGTACCTACAGATTAAATAATCTTACAGTTTTACCTTAATTTTTAAATTTATATGCATTTTTTATATACAGTGGAACCTCTACTTGCGATCATGTCCACATGCGAGTTTTTCCAAATACGAGCAGTCAATGGGTCGATTTTTTGCTTCCATACGCGAGCAAAATTTCCACAAACGAGCAGACCTCAAGGCAGGTTCCTTGACACTGGTGAGGGGGCTCTTGCTCTTAATCTCGGGAATTGTATCTCATTTGTTTGTTGGACTATCTTATTGAAACTTGGGCAATGTATGATGGAAAGATGCTTCTTAATGTACACCAAAAATGAAAGCAATCTAAGCATAAATAATGGAGTTCACTTTTCAGCAATTAGCCGCCCCTTAGCGGTAATTTTGAATGGTTTTTATGGTTGTATTCTTGTGTTTTTGGTCTCATTTGATAGAATGGAAGATATATTACAGAAATAGATATGATTTTAATTGCTTTCACGACAAAAAGTACATTGAAATAGAGCTCAACCTAGGGGAAATGGTCCATTGCTTGGCTGTTTCAGAGTAAACAAATGACATCACTGTCCATTCCAATATGCAGTCGTGAATGGGTTGACATTATTTATACAATTATTGCAATAAGGAATAAAAGTAAATCTTATATTTGTGTGAATAAAAATTACAAATTATTTATATAATAATAATAACAATATGTATAATAATACGTATAATAGTATAATAATAATAATAATAATAATAATAATATAATATGTATAATAATAATACATATATATAATGTACTACATATAACAATTATAATAGACGGCTTCAAAAGGCCGTAACTAGATGGCAGTGTTTACCACAACAAATAGGGAGTGGTTGTGGCTGCCTCCACCTGTTACATAATGACATATTTTATTCATTCTAGAGTATATATCATGTTTCTATGTTATTTTTATTGATTGTTATGTCATACTAGATGAAATGTGATATATAAGTAAGCCGCATAGATGATATTAGCAAAATTATTCATGAAGTATTTTCATCGGTCTCCAGACAAACTCTCGTCCACCCCCGACACCGCCCATACCACTACATGAATGACATATTTTATTCATTCTAGAGTATATATCATGTTTATATGTTATTCATATTGTTTGTTATGTCATATTAGATGAACTGTGATGGATAAATAAGCCGTATAGATGATATTAGCTAAATTATTCATGAAGTATTTTGTCCAGTCTCCAGACAAACTCTTGTCCACCGCTGACACTGCCCATACCACCACATGAATGACATATTTTATTCATTTTAGAGTATATATTAGGTTTGTATGTTATTTATATTGTTTATTTTGTCATATTAGATGAAGTGAGATAGATAAATAAGCCGTAGAGTTGATATTAGCGAAATTATTGAAGTACAGAATTCCACTGGAAAGGATTAATTGCATTTCAATTAATTTAAATGAGGAAAATTGACTCTGCAAAGGAGCAAATCCAGTTGCAAGCAAGGTCATGGAACGGATTAAACTCGCAAAGGGAGGTTCCACTGTAATTACATTAAAAAATTATTATTAAAAAAAGGGTATTTGTAGAAGTGCATCAAGTTCTTAAAGACAGGATTATTACACTACTTGTAAACAGATAACTCTGGAGGAGTCTATACGATACAAGATTGGTGACCCAGTGGAAGCTTGGCTGCACCAGCTGCTGTGCCTGGAGGCCTCTCTCTCCACCCTCCCTCCCACCTTGCCACAACCCAACGAATGTCAGCTCTTCTATGTCAACAGAGATACCCTCTTCGGTTACCATAAGGTTAGCTAAATCATCTTTATTTCCATTACAATATTCAAAATTAATGATTTCACATTATTTTTCAGGATTTAAGAATTTTTCTACCACATTTATAGTTTCTAAAGTAAAATGAGTTAAAGAAGAAAAAATATACATTATATATCGTTTAGTTACCATCTTGTCTGAAACATGACTACATCAAAATTTAAATGATCATCCACACTGCAACATCTCCATCTATCCTTCAGAGTGCAGGCATTATACTTCCCACCTTTAGAACTGCAACATCATCACCCATTCTTCAAAGTGTAGCCACTTTACTTCCAATCTCTAGAACTACAATATCTCTGTTTATTTTAAAGAGTGCAGGCACTATACTTCCAACCTCTGGAGCTGCAACATCACTGCCCATCCTTCAGAAAACTGCAGCATCACTGAACCTTTTGAAAAGGACTAAAATAATATGAGTACAGCAGATAGGTTTATAGAATTTGAATTGTGTAAAATAGGTAGATTTTGTAAGGTTATGCAGAATATAAGTGAAAGGTGTTGCAGTGATTGCATCAGTTTTTGTTATCCCAAAGAGGATAAAATGGATAAGCTGAAGAAAGTAACAAGTTTGATAAAATACTGTCCTCTTTTTTGAAGAAAATGCTTTTAAGGCTGAACATGGAAGAAAGTTCTTATAAAATCCAACACAGAAGAAAGTCCTTATAAAGTCCAATTTGGAGGATTGACATAGCCCCTCTGTTCAACTGACTAATTGGGAAGAGCAGGTGGCCAGTAATGAAAGTTATGGTGGAAAGAGAAAAGATTGTTTTGCCGTGATTGCAACAAATATGAACAATTCTGGGGCCAAAGGACTTTGTTCATTATTTCCAAATCTACTGACCTAGTGGACTTTGTTCAGTATTTCTGAAGTCCGTTCAATGGAGAGTTTATTTTATATGCAGTTAGATAAGAATAACTGTAAAGGAAGGGGTGAGAAACATTTCACATCTAGTCACAAAATGAGAGATGAATCTACCTGGTTAATGATATACAGTGAATTCCACATGACACGGTGGTTATGTTCCTGAAAATGTGTTGTTTGTGAAGGGTGTGTTATGTGAACTGATGATCAAGGAAGGAAAATACATTTATGTTCTGGGAACCTTAACTAAAGTAATACAAGGTTACCTAAAACAGTTCTTTAACTTCTGGTTGGTAGTACTTGTAGGTTATGACATGTGTGGAGAGTATTGTGTGATTGCTGAGGTGCATGGTTGTTGTTGAGCTGAGCTGGATGGTTGTTGTTGGGCTAAGGTGCTGGGTTGTTGTTGGGCTGAGGTGGAGGGTTGTTGGGCTGAGGTGAATGGTTGTTGTTGGACTGAGGTGAATGGTTGTTGAGCTGAGGTGGATGGTTGTTGTTGAGCTGAGGTGGAGGGTTGTTGTTGGGCAGAGGTGGAGGGTTGTTGGGCTGAAGTGAATGGTTGTTGAGCTGAGGTGGATGGTTGTTGTTGAGCTGAGGAGAATGGTTTGTTGTTGGGCTGAGGTGGATGGTTATTGTTGAGCTGAGGTGGAGGGTTGTTGTTGGGCTGAGGTGGAGGGTTGTTGGGCTGAGGTGAATGGTTGTTGTTGGACTGAGGTGAATGGTTGTTGAGCTGAGGTGGATAGTTGTTGTTGAGCTGAGGTGAATGGTTATTGTTGGGCTGAGGTGGATGATTGTTGGGTTGTTGAGTTGTTGCTTGTTGGGTTGAGGTGGATGGTTGGTGTTGGACTTAGGTGGATGGTTATTGTTGCACTGAGGTGGATGGTTGTTGTTGCACTGAGGTGGATTGTTGTTGTTGGACTGAGATGGATGGTTTTGTTGGACTGAGGCAGATGGTTGTTGCACTGAGGTGAATGGTTGTTGGACTGAGGTGAATGGTTGTTGTTGGGCTGAGGTGGATTATTGTTCTTGGACTAAGGTGAATGGTTGTTGTTGGACTGAGGTGAATGGTTGTTGTTGGGATGAGTTGGATGGTAGTGGCTCTTGTTATGATTTAGATTGTAGTGGCTCTTGGGCTGAGATGAATGGTAGTAGAGTAGACAACCACATTTTGTGCAGGACATACTTCATGAAAGGAGATATCCATGGAGGCACAGTAGGTGAAGTGAACAACTTAGGGTAAAAAATAGGTTAGGTTCCATACCCCTCCAAATTTCCTTATAAATACACATTTCACCTAAAATAAAAACCTAAGTATTGTACAGTGATTTTAAAAGGCAAGCAGATATTATGGCCATATTAAAGTATATTATTATAGAATAATCCTGGGTGATTTAACTTAGTATAACCTAAGAAAGTCAAGAAATGTGCAATGCACTTATTTTAATTTTGATTGTTGTTGATTAAGTTGCTTGATGTCAGTGGAGAGATGTGGTGCAGCCCTAATGGGCCACAGATGGGGTGGATGAAGTAGAGGCTGGGGTTTGTGGGCTGATGTGGATGACTGGGGTTTACTGGCTAAAGTGGATTTTTGGGGTTCATGGGCTGAAGTGGATGGCTGGGGTTCATGGACTGATGTGGATGGCTGAGGTTCATGGACTGATGTGGATGGCTAAAGTTCATGGGCAGAGATGGATGGCTGGGGTTCACTGGCTAAAATGGATGGCTGGGAATCACTGGCTGAAGTGGATGGCTGGGGTTTATCGGCTGAGGTCAGTGCAGAGTTGTTGCTTACATGTGTATCTGCTGTGTATTATTCAGCAGTACTTTATACAGCTGATAGCAGGACATCATCAGCTGCTCCAGACTCCACTACCGAGCAGTGCTTCTTCTAGATGTGTCAGGGTTCTCATCAGTGAAAAAAGTCGCTGCAAGTTTAACAGCAACATAAAACTGCTCACCTAACCATTAAAGTGTTAACCGTTTCTCTGCAGGCTCCTCATCCTCATCCTCCTCAATCTCTACTATCTGGGAATTCAGCTCTGTCAACATTCTCTCTCCACATCTTTCTTCCACTTCATCTTCTAATAGTTCACTGATGCCTTCTGGCTGCATGTCTTCAAAGCCCTGCCACTTGACAGTCTCCTTACCAGCTGAAAATTTTTCTTAATTTGACTTTCTTGTGAGAGAAATTCTGTGAAATTATTCACCACACTAAGATATAATTTTCTGCAGACTGCATTTATTGTTGGTTTTGGTACATATCCCGTGCAGCTTTGATGTGGGTTAGACATCTGCAATGTTGAATTTATGCCAGAACTCTGGCAATCCAAGCTCTGAGTCATCATCCATTGGACAAGAGGTGAATACCCAACCTTACCTATTGGCCAGTACATGAGAACTGCTAGGTGACTACCCTAGCCTTACCTATCGTCCAGTACATGAGAACTGCTAGGCGATTATCACAGCCTCGCCTACTGTCCAGTACATGACAATTGCTAAGTATCTACAGTCTCACCTATTATCCAGTACATGACAGTTGCTAGGTGACTGCCACAGCCACACCTACTGTCCAGTACATAACAGGTGCTAGATGACTATCACAGCCTCACCTACTGTCCAGTACATAACAGATGCTAGGTGACTATCACAGCTGCACCAAACAATCTTTTAAAAATATTATATCATTATCCTTGACCCTCTCTACCAGATAATTAATGTACAGTGGTCCCTCAAGTTACGAACTTAATTCGTTCCAGAAGGCTGTTCGAGTGCCGATACCGAACGAATTTGTTCCCATAAGGAATAATGTAAATTAGATTAGTCCATTTCAGACCCCCCACAAATACACTTACAAAAGCACTTACAAAAATACACTTAAATAATTGTTCGAGTTGGGAACAGTTCAAAACCCGAGGTACCACTGTATTTGGTTAAGAAAATGTCTAACAATTCTTTGTCTTTCAACAAACCGGCCATATCCCACCAAGGCAGGGTAGCCCAAAAAGAAAAATGAAAGTTTCTCTTTTTAAATTTAGTAATACATTTACGGGAGAAGGGGGTTACTAGCCCTTTTCTCCCGGCATGTTAGTTGCCTCTTATGACATGCATGGCTTATGGAGGAAGAATTCTGTTCCACTCCCCCATGGAGATAAGCAGAAATAAACAAGAACAAGAACTAGGAAGAAAATAGAAGAAAACCCAGAGGGGTGTGTGTATATATATGCTTGTACACGTATGTGTAGTGTGACCTAAGTGTAAGTAGAAGTAGCAAGACGTACCTGTAATCTTGCCTATTTATGAGACAGACAAAAGACACAAGCAATCCTACCATCATGTAAAACAATTACAGGCTTTCGTTTTACACTCACTTGGCAGGACGGTAGTACCTCCCTGGGCGGTTGCTGTCTACCAACCTACTACCTACAATATACATGTATATATCTATGTATCCTAGGTAGTAGGTTGGTAGACAGCAACCACCCAGGGAGGTACTACCGTCCTGCCAAGTGAGTGTAAAATGAAAGCCTGTAATTGTTTTACATGATGGTAGGATTGCTGGTGTCTTTTTTTCTGTCTCATACACATGCAAGATTTCAGGTACGTCTTGCTACTTCTACTTACACTTAGGTCACACTACACATACATGTACAAGCATATATATACATACCCCTCTGGGTTTTCTTCTATTTTCTTTCTAGTTCTTGTTCTTGTTTATTTCCTCTTACCTCCATGGGGAAGTGGAACAGAATTCTTCCTCCGTAAGCCATGTGTGTTTTAAGAGGCGACTAAAATGCCAGGAGCAAGGGGCTAGTAACCCCTTCTCCTGTCTATATTGCTAAATGTAAAAGGAGAAACTTTCGTTTTTCTTTTTGGGCCACCCTGCCTCGGTGGGATACAGCCGGTGTGTTGAAAGAAAGATATACAGGTACCATCCGACTTACGACCGAGTTCGGTTCCGGGAAACCGGTCGTAAGTCGAAATGGACATAAGTCGAACTTTACTACTGAATATCAACATTACATTTTTGCAATGACTTTATTTTATTGTTTTATTTTGGTATTTCATGTTTTACTTTACTTTTTATGCTGTTAGTACTGTATTTTATACTGTAAGGTTTAGGATAAACACTGTGTACAACACAAACAGTTGTTTATTTCCCAGAAATTTGGCATAAAAAACACGGTCGTAAGTCAAGTAGTTGTATGTCGAGCAGGTCGTAAGTTGGATGGTAGGTGTATATGTATATTCTAGGTAGTCCTAGGTAGTAGGCTGGTAGACAGCAACCGCCCAGGGAGGTACTACCGTCCTGCCAAGTGAGTGTAAAACAGAAGCCTGTAATTGTTTTTCAAGATGGTAGGATTGCTGGTGTCTTTTTTTTTCTGTCTCATAAACATACAAGTTTTCAGGTACATCTTGCTACTTCTACTTACACTTAGGTCACACTACACATACATGTACAAGTATATATATACATACCCCTCTGGGTTTTCTTCTATTTTCTTTCTAGTTCTTGTTCTTGTTTATTTTCTCTTATCTCCATGGGGAAGTGGAACAGAATTCTTCCACCATAAGCCATGCGTGTTGTAAGAGGCGACTGAAATGCCAGGAGCAAGGGGCTAGTAACCCCTTCTCCTGTATATGTTGCTAAGTAAAAGGTGAAGCTTTCGTTTTTCCTTTTGGGCCACCCCGCCTCGGTGGGATACGGCCGATGTGTTGAAAGAAGAAAAGATATACACACACATACACATACTTATACATGCATGTGTAGCGTGACCTAAGTGTAAGTGGAAGTAGCGAGAAGTACCCAAAACCTGGCATATTTATTAGATAGAAGAAGGCTGGAGGCAGTGGAGATGTCATGTCTGAGGGCAATGTGTGGTGTGAATATAATGCAGAGAATTCGTAGTTTGGAAGTTAGGAGGAGGTGCGGGATTACCAAAACTGTTGTCCAGAGGGCTGAGGAAGGGTTGTTGAGGTGGTTCGGACATGTAGAGAGAATGGAGCGAAACAGAATGACTTCAAGAGTGTATCAGTCTGTAGTGGAAGGAAGGCGGGGTAGGGGTCGGCCTAGGAAGGGTTGGAGGGAGGGGGTAAAGGAGGTTTTGTGTGCGAGGGGCTTGGACTTCCAGCAGGCATGCTGTGAGCGTGTTTGATAGGAGTGAATGGAGACAAATGGTTTTTAATACTTGACGTGCTGTTGGAGTGTGAGCAAAGTAACATTTATGAAGGGATTCAGGGAAACCGGCAGGCCGGACTTGAGTCCTGGAGATGGGAAGTACAGTGCCTGCACTCTGAAGGAGGGGTGTTAATGTTGCAGTTTTAAAAACTGTAATGTAAAGCACCCTTCTGGCAAGACAGTGATGGAGTGAATGATGGTGAAAGTTTTTCTTTTTCGGGCCACCCTGCCTTGGTGGGAATCGGACAGTGTGATAAAAAAAAAAAAAAAAAAAAAAAAAGACACCAGCAGCCCTACCATCATGTGAAACAATTACAGGTTTCTGTTTCACACTCATTTGGCAGGATGATAGTATCTCCCTCGGTGGTTGCTGTCTACCAACCTACTGCCTAGATGTCTAACAATTATTTACTATAATTTCTATTTGAATATTTTCAATGATGTTGACTGCACATCAGTGTTTGTTAGTTTACACCACACAGTGGCTTCATCAGTCCAATACAAAGCAGGTGTAAGGAGAGGAGGAGTACGAGGTAAACAGTCCCTCAGCCTGGAGTCGATATGTTCAGTCCATCAATCTTGTAGAATTGAACATATCGACTCCAGGCTGAGGGACTGATTACCTCGTACTCCTTCTCTCCTTACACCTGCTTTGTATTGGACTGATGAAGCCACTGTGTGGCGAAACGTTTCCTGAATAAAGATTCCCATGTGTTGCATAAGTGTCTCACTCTTCAACTTGCGGTTTTCCAAACCATTCATCACATACTTTGTTCCTGTGGCAGACATGTGAAGTATAAGTTGGAACTTTGTAAATCAGGGGTTTACTGTTTAGTCTGCCTGAAATACACAGTAGCATGCTAGTGGCTTTCTTTGGTGAATAACAATATTTTATTACATATAAACTACATTTTGTTTGCTTCAGAAAGAAATAATTTGTTTATACAAGAATAGTAGTTGTTTATGCTGTTTTTTTTTTTTTTGGCCTAGATGATGGACTTGCAAATAGTAGAATATATACAAAGGTTTAATATTGAATTATTGTTCTCTTTGTATTAAGCTTCACTTGTTGTATTGTAGGTGTCTGAGAAGTTTTTAAAGGCCGTGATGGGACTACTTGTGTCATCACACTACCGTAACACACCTGATGACTTGCAGACACTCTCTGATGCTCCGGCACATCACCTCTTTGTCTTGCTCCCACCACAAGATCAAACTAAAGGAGATGCTTTACCCTCAGTGCTTTGTGTTATCCAGGTATGGTAAACTTTGAGTAAGATGAGTTTAAATTGGCCAAGTTATTAGTTTGTCTCTGGGCATTTCCTTCTATTATATATTTTATTTTGAATTGTATTTTAGTTTTTAAACAATCTTGCAAATGTTGTGTAGACACTAAATTTCTTTGAATTCCTTTTGATACCATATGTCATTTTGGTTCTGATTGGGTTAATCAGAGGAAAGTGTTGTCACAGGAGTAGTGTTTATGGCACTCAGTAGACACATGATTGAGTCTTCACTTATCCTAATGGTTTACTGATCCGGTTAGCCGGACTTGAATCCTGGAGTGGGAAGTACATTGCCTGTGCTCTGAAGGAGGGGTGTTGATATGTTGCAGTTTTTTAACTGTAGTATAGGCATGCCCACAGCATGACAGTGATAGATTGATTGATTATGAAAGTGTTTCTCCTTTTTTTGGGTCATCCTGCTTCAGTGGGAAATGACTGATGGGTTAATAAAAGAAATTATAACATTGTTGATGCTAATAATGCTTCCTCTCTGTAGTGCTCTCTGTTTTTTTTACTGACTAAGTTTCCTTAATACCCTTTCAGGGTCGAGAAGCCCTCTCCTAAAATTGTTCTCAGGGTTAAAAATTTTTTGGAAAAAAAAAATTATTTTTCTTACAAAATGATAGAGAATCTTTTCCCGATCATAATGACACCAAAAGTGTGAAATTTGATGGAAAACTCACGGAATTATGCTCTCGCAAAGTTAGCGGTCTCGACGATGTTTACGCATCAGCGATTTCGCCAACTTTGAGCCCTATTTTCAGCCAATTCCTGTGTACTTGTCGACAAAAATCATATTTATTTCACTAGAACTCCATTTTTTCTATCGAATGAGTACAAGAAACCACCCATTTACCAATTTCAACTATCCAGTAAAGTGATTAGAAATTGGCAATTTTGCTAATTTCACACAAATTTCAGAAGATGCCAATTTCCAAATAGGGTCCAGAATAAACAAGACAGACATTCCTGAAACTAAAATAATAAGTTCTATGCTTGTTAGTCATGTCCCCAGGCCCCTCTTATATTTCTTTTGCTTTCCACTTTGAATTTTTATTCTTACAAAAAATAGAAGATTTACTGTTATGCAGACTACTGCATTGGTGTAGAAAGGGTATAAATAATATCAGCGTACTTGTGAAAGAATATTAGACTCACCAGTTGACGTGTATTGGACACATGGCATGATTTGTTTACTTTTGAACTTTGGTAAAAATTGAACACTTTTGCTAATTTGAGCTCAATTTTAAGGTACTTTTCATTGTGAAACCAATCAAAATCATCTCAATTTCTGTAATATGTCTTCCATTCTATAAAATGAGACCAGGAAAACTAGAATACAACCATAAATACCATATGAAAATACAGTGCAAAGTCTCTGTTTTAATCCAAAAGCACTGTGTGCTGCAGGATATTTTTTTATACTGTGCACACTGACCACATAGACCCATTCTTTCATATGTAGGCCTACCAACTTTCTCTCGCTAGACTTGAAGGCGCTAGAATTCAGGGATTCTAGTATGTCAATAACCCTGGTGCATAAGCCGTACTAGTACGTTGAAAACTCTGAAAGGGTTAACCCTTTCACTGTCGAGACCCCCACTCATAAACTTGCTCTCAGTGTCGAAGAATTAAAAAAAAAGCTGTTTTTTCTTATCAAATGATAGAGAATCTTTTCCCAGTGGTAATAACACCAAAAGTATGAAATTTGATGGAAATCTTGCGGAATTACACTCTCACTATGTTAGAGGTCTCAGCGATATATACACATCAGCGATTTTGCCCAATTTGAGCCCTATTTTTGGCCAATTCCATTGTTCCATTTGAACAAACTCATAGCTATTTCACTAGAACTCCATTTGTTCTATCAATTGAGTACAAGAAACTGCCCCTTTACTGATTTCAACTACCCAATAAAGTGGTCAGAAATTGGCAATTTGGCCAATTTCACAAAAATTTCTAAAGATGCCAATTTCAAAATAGGGTTCAAAATAAACAATGCAGACATTCCTGGCACTAAAATAACATTTTCTCTGTTCATTAGTCACGTCTCCAGGCCTCTCTTGTATTACTCTTGCTTTCCATTTTTAATTTTTATTCACACAAAAAAATAGAAGATTTACTGTTAAGCAGACTACTGCATTATTATAATAATTGTATAAATAATGTCAATCCATTTGTGAGTGCGTATTAGACTGGCCAGTTGGACACGTATTTGTTTACTCTTGAACATTGGCAAAAATTGAACATTTCCGCTCTTTTGAGCTCAATTTCAAAGTACTTTTCATCATGAAACCAATCAAAATCATCTCTGTTTCTGTAACATATCTTCCATACTATCAAATGAGACCAAGAAAACGAGAATACAACCATAAATACCATACGAAAATACACCTCAAGGTCGGCGTTATAAACCAGAAACGTGGTCGGAGTTTTTTTTTCTCATTATGCACTGCATGGTGCAGGATTTTTTTTATACTGTGCACACTGACCACGCAGACCTATGCTCTCTAATGTAGGTCTACCAACTTTCTCTCACTAGATTTGAAGCCGCTAGAATTTTGGTGTAATACTGTGGTACCAACACTGGCTTTCAACCTGTAATACTATGGCACCAACAGTGAAAGTGTTAAATATCCTCAAATACAGTAGGGTCCCACTTGTACGGCAGGTTAGGTTCCAGGCTACCACCAGAGAGCGGACATCGCCAGAAAGCAGAATGCCATTTTTTCCACTTATAAATGCATACAAATGCCAAATAACAAGTTCACACTAACATATACAGTGGTACCTCAAGTTTTGAACAGCTCCCAACTCAAACAATTATGTAAGTGTATTTTTGTAAGTGCTTTTGTAAGTGTATTTGTGGGGGGTCTGAAATGGATTAATCTAATTTACATTATTCCTTATGGGAACAAATTCGTTCAGTAACGGCACTCAAACAGCTTTCTGGAACGAATTAAGTTCGTAACTCAAGGTACCACTGCATTAAGCTGACAGTAGAACTAGGCATTAAAAAACAATAAAAAGTACATTCATTACTTACCTTAAAATATTTGTAATCTTAATGTAGGGTGGGAGTAGTATTTATTTGTAGGAAGTCAGGTGTAGATAGTTGATAGGTGTAGGTAGCCATAGGTGCAGGCAGCCGTAAGTGTAGGTAGCCATAGGTGCAGGTAGCCATAGGCGTAGGTAATCCTCCCAGTCATAATATTTGATATTTAAAATGGCCCAGAGTGATAAAATACACATACAGTACTCTCATTACTTACCTTAAAATATGTGTAGTTTTAATGTAGGGTGAGAGGTGAGTAGTACAGCCTCTCCTCACTTAATGACAGAGTTCTGTTCCTGAGACCATGTCATTAAACGAATTCGTGTCTAAGTGAGGAGCATATTATATGGTAGTGAGCTATGTCACCCATCTTTGATATTGTTTTCATGTCACCTTTGCACCATTTATATAACATTTTTGGTATGTTTTTATGTTTATACAGTAGTGTACTGTATATTGAAATAAACAGAATAGAAGAAATCAGCTCTGATATACATTATTTAGGTATGAATACCGGTCAGAGAGCCATCGTAAGTCCGAGGTGTCAGTACACGAGTATGTTGCTAAGTGAGGAGAGGCTGTATTTATAGAAAGTCAGGTGTAGGTAGTCAGTAGGTGTAAGTAGTCAGGAAGGCCCCCCTACACCAGCTACCTCCACTGACCCAGAGTGATATTATCATCAACATATCTTGTTCACTGAGCTTAATCATTTCTAGCAACTACTTTTAGATACCATCATAAACGAAGGGATAAGTGATCAGAAGAAATCTTGCCGAGAATTGTAAACAAAGCTGAGTGCTTTAATTGGAGTGACTGGGTCAAATGCAGATTGATACACAATTTTTCTGATGCTGTACCCAAGAAAATTTAATTTTTTTCCCTCTGCCTGGCTACCACACCTTATAATTATGTGAAATTTATTTTACTGTGGGTGTGTATATCATGTTTATATCCTATGTAATGTGTTTCTTATATAATTTTGAGGAAATATCATGGATGGATTAATAAAAATGTCTATTTTAATGTAAAATAAGACATTTAATGAGCCCAAGAGTGATTATTATTATTATGTATTAGTATTATTATTATTACTATTGTGTCAAGACTAGAGGGACACACTTAGTGATTTTAATGTGTACCTGCACACCAGCACAGTAAGTGTTTTTAGGTACAGGTATACATAAGTATAATTATTAGAGTACATATAAAATATGCAATAACTTTAAAACACTTGAAATTTTGGAAAGTTTCCAGACATAATGGAAAGATGTAAACAAACTGGGTAGCATGCAGTGACCATATTAACTCGTTCAGGGTTTCGGCCATACTAGTACAGCTTACACACCAGGGGCCATGACTACTCATAAATTCTAATGCCTTCAAATCTAGTGAGAGAAAGCTGGTAGGCCTACATATGAAAGAATGGGTCTATGTGGTCAGTGTGCGCAGTATAAAAAAAATCCTGCAGCACACAGTGTGTAATGAGAAAAAAAAAAAAACTTTGACCGTGTTTTTGGATTAAAACGGCGACTTTGCACTTTATTTTCGTATGGTATTTATTGTTGTATTCTAGTTTTCCTGGTCTCATTGGAATGGAAGACATATTACAGAAATTGAGATAATTTTACTGGTTTTACAATGAAAAGTACCTTGAAATTGAGCTCAAAGTAGCAGAAATGTTCAGTTTTTACCAAAGTTCAAAAGTAAACAAATCATGCTAAGTGTTCAATACACGTCAACTGGTGAGTCTAATATTCTTTCACAAGTGCGCCGATATTATTTTTACCATTTCTACACTAATGCAGTAGTCTGCATAACAGTAAATCTTCTATTTTTTGTGAGAATAAAAATTTAAAGTGGAAAGCAAAAGAAATGTACGAGGGGCCTGGGGACGTGACTATTGAACAGAGGAAATGTTATTTTAGTGCCAGGAATGTCTTTCTTGTTTATTCTGGACCCTATTTGGAAATTGGCATCTTTTGAAATTTGTGTGAAATTGATAAATTAGACACATGTGCAACTCTTGGGTATCTTTATTGAGGAAACGTTTCGCCACACAGTGGCTTCATCAGTCCATACGTAGGAGAAACTTGAAGAACAGGAGGAGAATGAGGTAATCAGTTCCTCAACCTTGAGTTGATGTGTTAAGTCCATCAATCTTGAATAGAATACGGCATATGAGCTGAGAAGCAGCTTATAAACCATATGGCAGGAGAGATGCAGCAGTCATAGGTGGTGTCACATTTGTTCAGTGTGGAAGTAGGTCGTGCCCAAGAATTAGGCAAGCGAAGAATTCCTAAGTATTAAGATCCCAAGAAGTTGCAGTGTCTGACAGGTTTGTAGATGAATGGTTCAGAGAACCGACATGTTGATAAATTAGACACATGTGCAACTCCTGGGTATCTTTATTGAGGAAACGTTCCGCCACACAGTGGCTTCATCAGTCCATACGTAGGAGAAACCTGAAGAACAGGAGGAGAATGAGGCAATCAGTCCCTCAACCTTGAGTCGATGTGTTCAGTCCATCAATCTTTAATAGAATAAAGATACCCAAGAGTTGCACATGTGTCTAATTTATCAACATGTCGGTTCTCTGAACCATTCATCTACAAACTTGTGTGAAATTGACAAAATTGCTAAATTCTGACCACTGTATTGGATAGTTGAAATCGGTAAATTGGTGGTTTCTTGTACTCATTCGATAGAAAAAATGGAGTTCTAGCGAAATAGTTATGATTTTTGTTGGCTAGTACATTGTAATTGGCCAAAAATAGGGCTCAAAGTGGGCAAAATTGCCGATGTGTAAACATCGTTGAGACCGCTAACTTCACAAGAGCATAATTTTGTAAGTTTTCCATCAAATTTCATACTTTTGGTATCATTATGATCGGGAAAAGATTCTCTATCTTTTCATAAGAAAAAATAATTTTTTTTTTGAAATTTGAGGGACCCTGAGAACAAGTCTCTGAGAGGGCCTGTGAACCCTGAAAGGGTTAAGGAGTCAGGTGGGGGGGGGGGAGCTGTGTAGCAAGTTTTTGTCATAATCTGAAGTGCCCATATTAGTGGAACGCCATAAGGCGAAACACTGTAAAGCGGGCTCTACTGTATGTGATAGTATGGCAGGCTGGAAAATCTCAGGATGGCCAGATCATGTCTGTATCATAGTAAATAGTATGCTAGGCTGGTAATCTCATGATGTACAGATCATGTCTGCATCCTAGTAGATAGTATGCTAGACTGGTAATCTCAGGATGGACAGATCATGTCTGTATCATAGTAAATAGTATGCTAGGCTGGTAATCTCATGATGTACAGATCATGTCTGCATCCTAGTAGATAGTATGCTAGGCTGGTAATCTCAGGATGGACAGATCATGTCTGTATCATAGTAGATTATATGCTAGGATGGCCAGATCATGTCTGTATCCTAGTAGATAGTATGCTAGGCTGGTAATCTCAGAATAGACAGATCATGTTTGTATCATAATAGATAATATGCTAGGCTGGTAATCTCAGGATGGACATATTATGTCTTAAAAATTTTTTAAAGTGGCATGATGAATTTCTAATTATATACTCTAACATTTTTGAATATGAAGATAAGTGTACATGATAATTAAGAGTTTTAATCTAGTGTTATATTGCCCCTTAGGTAGCACTGGAAGGTAAGATATCCAAATCTTCAGTGTTGTCTGCACTGACTCAAGGAGAAAAGCCAGCAGGAGACCTTATTCCATGGACAGTCAGTAACCAGTTCCAGAACCATGACTTTCCACAGCTCTCCGGGGCTCGTATTGTTCGCATTGCTACACATCCTAACATACAGGGAGTAAGTTAAAACCAAAACTAAACATTAACATCAAGAAGATTGACCTTTTTGCTTTTGCTCTAAAGATTTAACACAAAACACCACAAGGAAAATGTTTTTAGAAAACTGAACAACTACCTGCTGAAACTGCTGATCAACCGGGTTGTGATGGATATTTAAGTGTATTGTTGGTTGCCTGGTGTAGATGATGGGTGGCTGGGAGGGTGAGTGTGTAGTTGGTGGTGTAGGCAGTAATAAGGGTAGTGGATGACTAGGTGGTGAGGTGTGTGGATGATGTGTTAGGGCGAAAGGTCTAATAAAGTGTGGGTGTCAAGTTGTGAGGAAATGGTTTAGGTGAGGGTGTGGGGCTAGGCAAAGTTGGCCTTGAGGTAGTGGGGGAAATTTGGCCATGTTGGAATGGTGTAGATGTAGACATGTGGTCATGGGGGTAAATATTGTATGGGTGGGTTGTGGGCAGAGATTGCTGGTTGGAATGGTGTGGATGAAGGCATGTGGGAGTTGTGTGGGTGGAGGTTGTTGGGTGTGCAGCAAGGAATGGGTGAACGCAAGCAGTATGGCTGAGGTGTGTGGCTGAGGTACAGTTGACCCCGGTTTTCGTAATTAATCCTTTCCAGAGAGAGTGACTAAACCTGAATCTGACAAATTCCGAATTAATTTTCCCCATAAGAAACACACACCCCATAAGAAATAATGGAAATCCAATTAATCCGTTTCAGACACCCAAAAGCATTAAAAAAAATGTTTTCTACATGAAATATACATTTACCTACACAGAAAACAATGATAAATGAAGAATAAAACAATAACATCACACTTACCTTTATTGAAGACCTGGTGATGTATGGAAAACGGGAGGAGGGGAAAAGATGGAGGAGTTCACAGTTGTTTGGAAGGGGAATCCCCTTCCATAAAGACTTGAGGTACCAAGTCCTTATCCTGGGTTACTTCCCTTATTTGTTTTTTAATGCCACTAGGACCAGCTTGAGAGTCATTGGACCCCTGTCGCTCAAAAAAGTGTTCCAGAGAGGTCTGTTTCTGGCGTATGTTAGGAATTGTGTGGGAGACAGGACAAGACAGTCCTTCAGTATGACACTAATATCAGCTCTACGGCTTATTTATATAGCACAATTCATCTAATATGACATAATAAACAATATTAATAACATAGAAACATGATATATACTCTAGAATGAATAAAATATGGCATTAAGAATGTCGCAAGTGGTGGTGTGTTTGTTGTTGGGTGGTGAAGGCGGCAGCAGAGGTGGTGGTGTTAGTCAGTAGCCTTATATACCTTCAACAACAATGGAGGAGTCAGTTTCGTGCTGTCCTTTTTCTATCGGTTAATCGCTTAACTTGTTGAGAGGGTTCGTGGAGATATGATGGTTGGAGTTAAACACATTAGCAGAGTGTGAGGAGGAGGAGCCCAGACTGCTGTGTTGCCTTGTTGTAGACCTAAGCGTAGAGTGAGGGAGAGGCAGGGAGCTCAACGCTCACATGCGGCATCACGTGATGTCACACATGCTAGCCACTGAGCCTAGTAAGGGGTCAACTATGTAAAACATATGGATGGTACTATGATACTCATATGACATATACAGGTCTCCCTCAACATTCGCGAGGGTTAGGGGATCAAGAGCCTCGCGAATGTTGAAAAACCATGAATGTTTGGTGCCCCAATATATTGTAGGGAAATATAATACAATACTGCTTCCTTAACTTGTTGAACCATGAACAATCATAAAATACATGAAAACGTCGTAAATTGTACTAAATATATACATGTTATGCTTTAATAACATGTATGTTATTAAATACCACAGACTCCACCAATGCCTCCACCACTTCCCCAACCACTGCGAGTCCCTACTACCCTCCCTCCGACCCCCGCAACTGGCAGCCAGCCCTCCCACCACTCAGTGTGGTGAGTGTTTTGTTTTTCATTATTTGCTATTAAACTACAGTATAAATAATGTAAACCCATTCATGACTGCATATTGGAATGGCTATTCGGACAGGTATTGGACGGTGACATCATGTGTTTAGTCTTGAACACAGCAAAGAATCAAACATTTCTGCTACTGCTAATAATAACAATAGTAGTAGTAATAATAATAATAATAATAATAATAATAATAATAATAATAATAATAATAATAATAATAATAATAATATTAATAATAATAATAATAATAATACGATTATAATTGAAGAAGGAAATTGTACAAAAATACGAGGGAGTGGTTGACACATCGTCAGTGTGGCTTTGTTTATGCTGGAGTGAGCATTAGTCTCCCTGCTCTTCCAAACATTTCACAATAATTCAGCGGTTGAGGCAGTGGTATTTAATAACATATATGTTATAAATAATAATAGTACATATTAATAACATGTATTATTATTATTAATAACGTGTGTTATTAAATACCACTGCCTCAATCGCTTCCTCACCAGCTGCCTCACCCACTGCCTCAGTCGCTGCTTCAACAGTTGCCTCAATCGCTTCCTCAACAGCTGCCTCACCCACTGCCTCACCCACTGCCTCAATTGCTGCCTCAACAGCTGCCTCAGTGACCACTGCCTCAATCGCTGCCTCAACAGCTGCCTCAATTGCTGCCTCAACAGCTGCCTCAATTGCTGCCTCAACAGCTGCCTCAATCGCTGCCTCAACAGCTGCCTCAATCGCTGCCTCAACAGCTGCCTCAATCGCTGCCTCAACAGCTGCCTCAATCGCTGCCTCAACAGCTGCCTCATGCACTGCCTCATGCACTGCCTCATGCACTGCCTCATGCACTGCCTCAACAGCTGCCTCACCCACTGCCTCAATCACTGCCTCAACAGCTGCCTCACCCACTGCCTCAATAGCTGCCTCAACCACTGCCTCAATCGCTGCCTCAACAGCTGCCTCACCCACTGCCTCAATCGCTGCCTCACCCACTGCCACAATCGCTGCCTCAACAACTGCCTCAATCGCTGCCTCAACAGCTGCCTCAACAGCTGCCTCAACCACTGCCTCTACCACTCCAGTCGCACTCAATCTACAAGTACCAAACACAGTGAATTATTGTGAAATGTTTGGAAGAGCAGGGAGACTAATGCTCACTCCAGCATAAACAAAGCCACACTGACGATGTGTCAACCACTCCCTCGTATTTTTGTACAACTTCCTTCTTCAATTATATCGTATTTATTATTTATTATTATTATTATTATTATTATTATTATTATTATTATTATTGTTATTATTAGTAGTAGCAGAAATGCTTGATTCTTTGCTGTGTTCAAGAGTAAACACATGTCACCATCTAATACCTGTCCGAATAACCATTCCAATGTGCAGTCATGAATGGGTTTACATTATTTATACTGCAGTTTAATAGCAAATAATGAACAAACAAAACACTCACCACACTGAGTGGTGGGAGGGCTGGCTGCCAGTTGCGGGGATAGGAGGGAGGGTAGTAGGGACTCGCAGGTGGCGGGAAACTTGAATATGATTTGGCGGCTGGGAATTTGGCGGTTGGGAATTTGGCGTTGGGTTTTCGCGAATGTGTGAAGCCCGCGAAAGCTGAAAACGTGAATGTTGAGGGAGACCTGTACATATACAGGGGATCAGCAACTATGCTGACAGCTCAGTTATGTTACGTATGTCGTCTCGACATACCATACTATGCTATAGGCTGAACAGGCAGGTGGCTCTGGGCTGATTCTATGCAATAGCAAAGACACATGTAACTTAGAAGTAATAGATGGTATTGTAATGGGCTTTAACGTAATACATTACGAATTATAAGAACAGATCATTGTATAAGAAAAGATGGAATTGATCGATTGATCTGTATTCATGCACTCTACGGATTCTGAGGAAGAATGTATATTTACAAAGGTGAAAGTAATTAACAGCAAAGACAGACCAGGCGCGCTTAGGTCATACTGCTAAATCTCAGAATTCGGAGGGAACGTGAACACAAAAAAAAATATTTCTGAAGAATTAATCAGCTAGTAAAACACAGTTGACAACTGCATTCAACTTGATCATCTAATTATACAGGCTATGTACATTTAAACCCAACTCTGCGAGGGTAAGATATACATATGCAGAATGGTTATCATCTCTGGGAAGATTGAATTCCTTTGCAATGGCTAACACACACCTTGACTGAGGGAGATCTGAACAAGTATCTACAAAAGATACTTAGGGGTTTCTCATTACTTGTCTTGTATGCAAAGAATAACGACATTCAGGTTGATCATCTGACTGAGTGTTAGAGGTAGAGAGTACAGAGTCAAGAGGATTGTCATCATCTGTCACATTAGTCTGGGTAGAAATATCATCCTCAACATCGCATACTAACTTCATATGATCTAAATGCAATTCCTTATACTGACCAGTTCGAATTTCTCTAACCTTATACTTATTGCCATTGATATGTTCAACTACTTGATAAGGACCAACAAACTTTTGATCGAGCTTAGGCATTGGGGATGTTTTGTTGAAGTTAGTCAGCATTACTCTCGAACCCACTTTAACTTTGATTGGCTTAGCACAGCTATTAGTTACTCTTATAAATTCTGCTGTTGACTTATGAAGTGTCTCACGGATTCTTCTAAAAACACTTTGAGCTAAGCTGGTACTAGTTGCTATGAAATCATCAGGGTTGTAATTGGGTTTCAGTGCAGAATATAACAATTCATAAGGCAAATGCTTGTCTACACCATACAACACATAATGTGGAGTGTCACCTATCGAAGCATTGTAAGCAGAATTTATGGCAAATTGAGCATCAGGTATAACTTCATCCCAAGTTTCACTATTGGGATTGATAGTGGCTCTCAAGACATCAAGTACTTTCTTATTGGTTCGTTCCACTAATCCACTGCTGGCAGGATGATGAGGAACAATGGTGGATTTAGAGATCTTGTACAAGGTACACAAATTTTCAAGAATCTCATTACAGAATTCAGCTCCATTATCTGTTATCAGGGACTTAGGGGTGGTA